GTCATAGAGTGTGTCTCCTGACTATTGTGGTGGTTTTAGGGTTATTTTCTATCACCAGCATGAGAGCTGATGTGACCTCTGACTGTCAGCAACAATAACTCTGGGTTATTCACTGTAAAAATAAGGCAATTGCTGCCAGAACGATCAAACTGCTTGGCTTTGTGGGTCCGTTTTGGAGATGGATGCTGTTGGCTCCATCAGACACAGTGGAAGCTTCCACCAACTTCTCAGAGAGAGCTACCCGTARCACTCCCACCACCAAAACCTTGCTGTGCAAACCCAATGCAAAGTGGTAATACCTGTGGGATGTATGTGAAGTGAAATAAAGCCATGAGTCTTGGGCAAAAGATAAAAAGTCCCTACAATGTTTTTGATAATATTAGAGAAAAGCAGAATAATCTCAAACCTTCCATTTCGAAAAAATAAGCCACATAAAACCAGACTACTTCTATGCTTTTAAGCAACGGCAGATTTACTTTTGCCTTCATGACAAAGGTTTTAGAAGTCTTCCTCTGGAAATGGCTAATATCCTCAAAAGATAATAACCCTTCAGTAGGGCTTAGTCTTCCTGACAATAAGTTAGTGATAGAACCTTCCAGAATGAAATGGGCTTGTACCTGCATTATTTRGAGAAAAGTAATAATACAATCTTTATGTTATAAAACTCTAATCCAATGCTTTGAAAAGATCACGAGGAATTTGCCAAAATGTCTACAAAGATGCAAGCTGTATTGCTATAATCTTCTTATTTTAGGAAATTGTTGCATTAAGATTTAAGGCATCCCAAAACTATGTAGCAGCTGCAACCTCGGAGCACAGTACTGTGTTTCAGCAGAAAGTTTCCCTTTCTTTACAGTTTCTGTACTATCTTGAATTGCATTTGGGTATTTGTAGTTCTGACATTATAATGTCTCCTTTCAAGAAAAAAATTGAATTTTGGATCACCACATCTATCTGGTTGCTTCTTTCTTGTCCTCATGACTGCACCTAGGTCTAGGAAGAGAAAGCACAAGGTAACGTCCATCTGTTACTTCAAAAAATCACATTAGCAGCTGACTAGTTGTGGAAAAAAAAAAAAAAAAAAGAAAGAAAGAAAGAAACGAAAGTGAAACCAAACCAATCCCAAACAAAAACCACACCCAAACAACAACCAAACAAACACAAACAAACAAAAAAATCAACACCTGCACAACCCCTGCCCCCATAGCACTCACCCAGGATGCTGTCTGAATGCTGTTGGGCATTCCTGTCCCTTACCACTCCAGGTGTCTGGCAGTTTAGGACTCTCTCTAGAGGCCAGAATTAAAAGTGTGCTCAGCTTCCTGGTTATGTAGAGAATTCTATGTGCCTTTAATGAGAACAGAGCATGTGGTTCTAAAGGAAGGGTAAGGTATATGCTTTAGTCTTTAAATGGAGAGAAGGGCCTCTGCCAAAATCCTGGTGGTGTTGTCAGGCCAGATTTGTCCAAAATGCCATTTAGAAGTGGAGATYTGGGGGGAGGTGGGAAGAGGGGGAATAGGGTGTGGCAGGGAACAACTTGTGAGTATGGAAGCACAGAAGTTCACACAGCCTGCACCTGTCTCTCTTCATCTCTGCAGTCTCCAGCTGTCACTGTAATGTGTGTGGAAATTAGTCCAAATAATGAACCTAGAGCTCTACAGCAATTAGCCTGACAATGGGTTAGGGTTTCTTAACCTCCAGCACACCAAATGATGTTTTTGGCAGGTTCCAATGAATTACATTCCTTGTTGCTCTTTGAGACAGCTTAATTTTAGTTGAAATTAAAGCAATTTATATGAGACACTATAACAGACAGTAACTGTTCTGTTCAGTATTTTTTCTCCTGGGGCCTAAATGGAAATTACCTGAAAGAGAATGAATAAGATAAAGAACCCTACTCCTAGAACTGAAGCTAGACCTTCACAGTGACAAAATACAGAGTTATCACTACTTAACCTTTGTAATTTGATAAGTTTTT